ATATATATATATATATATATATATATATATATATATATATATGTATGTATGTATACAAAGAATATGTAATAAAGTTTCTATTTAGGGCATAAGCCAGGAAGTTGATAAATTTTGTTGGCAGAAAATCAGTTTCTCTGTGCCTGTTGAACAGATATTTGAAGAATAACTGTTTGAAGCACCATCTTAAATAATTAGCCTTCCCAGGAAACCTGTGTCTCTTGATCTGGCCTTGGGGGAGGAATTTTACAAAGAGAATTGAACTCAGATTAAAAATAAAAAATGATAGATGCTGTTAATAAAAGTCTGAAAGAATTACAAAATTATGTGGGTAATTAAGTTGTAGGATTCTCTGTCTCTGATTATCATTCCTACCTATCCTCTAACAAACTACTGAAGGAGAGAAATTTCATGTGCAGTGAAACAGAGAAAGATTCATTTTAAAATTCCTTAAAGGAGGTTGAAAGCAAGTGCCAGTGGCCAGAAACTATTTTATTTGGGAGGAATGTGTGTGCCTTATATTTTTCTCCACAATAGAAGTTCTTTTTTTCTGGGTGAAGATTTGTAAATCTCGAGACCTCCCTTGATATGTGTGAACTGATTCGGAAGCAGATAGGGTTGACTATCGGGAGGATTGAACATTCATTTATTTAACAAATATTTATTGAGTTCCTACTATGCACAGACATTGTTCTAGATCCTAGGGATAAAGGAGTGAACAAAATAGACAAAACCTCTACAAATAACAGAGAAGATAACTAAGAATACATATAGATGCCTGAATGTGAATCATGCTAGGGATAAAAATAAAGCCAGGAACAGGGAGATGAAGTGGGTCCATGCCTGCACATTTTGATAGGGTGTCCAGGGAATTGAGAGGTGGTATTTTATGAACGTCCTGAAGGGAGTGAGGGAGGGAGCCATGTGGATATCTGGGGGAAGAGCATCTTTTGTTCTGAGGCAGTAAGTCTAAATAAGTCTATGTAAGTCTAAAGTTTAAATTATGCCCCAAATGCATAACCTGAGTCTATAAACATTGGACAATCTCAAATTGAAGGACATTTACGAAATCAGTATCTTCAAAAATGTAGATGTTATGAAAGACAAAAGGTTAAAGAAGATTAAAGTGACGTGACAACTAAATGCTTTATGTGAGCCTTGATTAGATCCTGGAGATCAGAAGAGGAGGGAGAGGTTGCCATAAAGGATGTTACTGGGACAACTGGCAAATTTTGAATATGGACCATGTATTAGGTAATAGTATTATATCAACATTAAATTTTCTGAATTTGATAATTCTGTAAGAGAACATCCCTTGTCCTTATGAAATACATGTTGAAGCACTTGAGGGTAAATGAGTATGATTTCTGCAACTAAACCTCAAATTATTCAGGAGAAATATGTTTATATATGATGATAGATAGCTGGGGAGTAATAAAACAAATATGGCAAAATGTTTTAACAATTGATGTACCTGAATAAAGGGTATATGGGAGTTCTTTATACTATTCTTGCAATTCCTGTTGCTTCAAAACAGCTAGTCCCACCTGTATGTTAAAAGGAACTCATTTGAGAAACTAATTCACTTTGAGTTATTAGTGACTGAAGACTATCCCTGAACTCAATAAACCTGCTAGGGAACCCTGTATTTTAAAAAGAAAATTTATTAACCAAAAGGAATGATGATAAAATTTTTTATGTCACATAGGCATTTACTTTTAATTGTAGGTGTGGGATGCTTCTCATACAGGCAACTCTGTACATGTTTCAGGATGAAGAATAATGCAATTTTACCTAGAGTGATTTTGAAAATGGCCCCTACTATGAAACTGTTGGAGTAGCCTGCTTTCTACAGTAGATGCAATGATTAAGCATTGAAGCTGTTAATTCATCATTAGTTTGTCTTAGTTCACCTGAGGTTAACATATCACCTAGCAAGGCTTTAAGGGACTAGATTTTAGAACAGTTAAGTTGTGAATTGCAAAAGTTCTAATGTTTGGTGAGAGAAAGGCCAGTTAAATCAAGGCTGGTTTGGGGCAGCCGGGGGCACTGTGAGGGTGCTGAGTATCTAGGTGAGTGGTAAGCATGCCGGAATAAAGAAGGAAGGTCAAAAGGGTGAGATTAAAATACAAACCTTTATCTGTTTTCAAGTTTGCCCAAGGTTGACCCTTTTCTGGGTCATCCCCACTCACCAAAAAGTTAGGTTTATGTCAAAATATAGTTTCTTGAGGATTTCAAATAGGTTTTTATTTATACCTATAAATTTGAAGCTAATGTCTACTCTTGTAAGGAATATTTGCTATGAAGTGAGTGAAGGAAATAGATTTTTTTCTTTTTATCATTTAATATTGCATGGAAGTACAGCATGATGATTTTATATCTCTTTCCTTTTCCCAAGTGACTGATCATTCTCAGAGTCCTCATGTCTTTGTGTTAATTTTTTTTTCTTTTTTTGTAGCAGCAGCAGCAGCAACTTTGCACATAGTTCTTGAGAGGAACAAGTATAAGACATTGACCACATATGCAAACCAAAGTTTCTATGTTACAGGCAAGAAGAGTGGCATAAGCACGAGGCAGTATTTTACAGATTGGCTAAATAAATAACCAGTGAATGCAATCTGTGGGATTTATTTCCTATGTTGCACCCTGAGAATACATACTGTTCTGATAGTTGAGTGAACTTTTGTCTGTAGAGTTCCAGAGTTACCAGAACATACACGTAATCTTTTAATCAGGTTTTTGAGCCTGGAGTCATGTTGAAAGTTGGAGCGGAAGTATGTCATTTTAGCTAGTATCTATATAATAACAGGAGTAACAGTGAGATATTTATAAAACTCATTTTCACTGGTTGCTTAAAAAGTTAACATTAGAGTAAATTTAGATACTACAATTAAAAAAATAATTTGGGTCAGATAATTCAGTTTATATCTTTATAGTATTATCTATAGTTAGACTCCCCACACCTTTTTTTGCTTTTTGCCCAAGGTTAATCTTTATAATTTCTTTCACTTTGTAAATTTCCCAATGGTTTATAATTATCTTAATTTATTTAAATAGTCTTCACTCTAATTTAGAAGATGGGGTTGATTCTTCTGTCATCTCAGTTTGGATAGGAATTACTGGAACCACCTATTTTAAGATTTTATTAAATATCCTGTGACCATTGAAAGTTGGACGCCTGAAAGAAAGGGAGAGAAAAATTGGGGATAAGAATCACATAGATACTGCTGTATTTTGCAAATATAAATAATCTATAATCCATTATCTTCACTGCTGACAAGAACAATTTCTAGTCAATTGTGTTTAGGACACTTAATCTTCAAATCCAATAGTTTTGGTTTAGAAAGAGAAAACAGGAATCTTTTTATTGCCTTTTCTGAGGTATTGGCTTCTTTTGCTTCAGTATGTTTGGGCTTCTCTTTTCTCTCTGCTTTCCTCAGATGAGCTTCCTTTCTGGAATATTCTTCTGGGGAAATATTGATGAGGAGTAAGTCGACTGTGTGGCCAATAAAATGGCCAGAACTGGAAACGGTGGTTGCACTTTGGAGGGAAGAAATGTCTGTTTGGAAACCTAAGATGGATTCTGGGCCTTCTCCATGGAAAAAAATGGAAGGGACACTTGGGCGTCCTTGTGATGGTCTGGACCCTTGTTACTGGATTTCTTGTGGTGGGCGGAGGCGTGAGTGTAAAGATCTCGCAGTCTGTAGGATCTATGTTATTTTGTGAGCCTCCAGGAGGGGTGACTACCTCTTTTTGTCCTGTGGGGAGGAAAATGCAAGTCAAGAAATGGGCCTGGTAACAGAAGCAGAGAGAAATGGATACTTTAGGGTGGTGGCAGGGGAGAAAGATGGGAAGAGAGAAATATAGAAGTCTCAGGACATTTAAAAGAACTGCCAGGGTTCAATAAAATGAAACATGAACACACAATCCAAGTGTCAATCAATAGGAGAATGCATAAACTGTTTATATTCATACAATGAAATAGTACTCAGCAATGAAAAGGAAGAACTACTAATACCCACAACAACATGGATGAATCCCACGAATGTTATGTTGAGCAAAAGACTCAGACACAAAAGAGTACAGCTCTAAGATTCCATTTATATGAAGCCCAAGAACAAGCAAAACTAATCTATGGGGGGAAAAAAGTCAAAATAATATTCAGCTTAGGGTTAGGATAGGAGTTATTTAGTGGAAAGACTAACCAGGGACCACTTTAGAAATGTTCTATATCTTGACCTGAGTGGTTGTTACATGAATATATGTATACACACATACACATACATATATACACACAGACATACACATGTTTTTACACATACTATAGATCAATCTGTACCTTTAAGATTTGTGGATTTTATTGTGTGTAGCTAAATAGAGAAAATTCAGTGGAACAAAAGAACTTAATTGATGTTAAGAAAAAAAAATAACTGCCTTTAAAAGCCATTAATCTAGAAGTTTTGCTTCACCTGCCCAAGAGAGGCATTCATCATACCCTAGAGAGGAAGGGAAGGGGGTGTCTATCTGCAGCATGGAAAAGTCTTGAGGACCAGGCTATAATTATTTTTTGAGAAGAAATTTGGATGAAGCTGAAGTGTCAAGGTCTTCCTTTCATTGTACCATCTGATTGAATTGGCTATGAAAAAGTAAGCTTGTCTTCAGAAAATTGTTCCTTCACTCCTTTAGGGGCTTACTAATACAGGCCTGGAAAGAGCTACCAAACATGAATGATGGAAAAATGAACTCCCCACAGAAAGTTGAGAGTTCTGAAGCACTTAAAAAGAACTGGATTCCCCTCATCTTTTGGACTGGTGAATTCAGGTTTCTTGGCTGTATTGTATATACTTATTACCTGCCTGTGTCCATAGTCCCTTCTAGATATTCTATTTCACCTACAAGCCCTGGAGAGGTCAGTCCTACACACCTCTGCCATGGCTGATTGGCCTGCTGAGACACTCAACTCATTCCTTGGCTGGTCAGTGACCAATCAGATTCTCACTTGAGAACTGTAATGAAGAGACACAGTTAGTGGAAGATATTAGTGGAAGGTGTAGGGCAGGTCTGGAGTGTCAGGTTTTGGACAATTGAATATTGAGAAAGCAGAGAAGCCGGTTTGCACATAAAAGGAGTAAAATGGGGAAGGCTTCTGAGAGAGAAAAGAGACAAGAGACAGTGTGGTAACAGACTTATGATGACAGTAGCCTCAGTTCTTGACTTTCTTGGGCTGGTCCCTCTGAGAGATGGCTGAGGTTCTTGGAGGAATCCTTATAATAATCACTCCACTTCCAGCTCTACTCCTTTTTTTTTTTTTTTTTTTTTTTTTTTTTTTTGTGGCTGGCTAGTAAAGGAACCAAACCCTTGACCTTGATGTTACAAGGCTGCGCTCTAACCAACTGAGCTAACGAGCCAGCCCTCTACTCCTTTTTAAAAGTTAGCTTGAATGGGTGTCTGTTTCTTGAATAAAAACCAACCGTTTCTCCCCTACCCATCCAGACTATTGGGTATTGAAATCCTGTGACTGAAACTAGATTACATATATATGTGTGCACGTGTATGAACATACATATATTGTGCATTCTTAAGCCCCATCTTGACATTTTGCTATCAGATTAGGTTTAGGTAGGCCTTGACTCTGCCATTCAGTAAACTGTGCTCCAGCTGTCAAAAACAAACCACCCATCCATTGAGCTCCTCTCATTTACTGAAACCTGAAACTACTCTCTAAAAACTCCTGAAAATTGGGTGTTAGAACCTGCTAAGCAGGTTTTCTCCAACCTTGAGATGTCCAGTAGTGTTCAGGACTAGGAATTTCCTAGGGCTCAAGATTAAGGTACAAGCTTGCCCCAATCACCTCCCCAAGGATGTTGGCAGAACCACATAAAAATATATTCTTCCAGCAAACTAGACACATGGTGATAATATCGGCTCACTGCTTGGCTAGCACAAGAGTTCTAAAACGAAAGCTCCATAGAGATTAATTCAGGAACCTGTCACATCTTACAAAGCGAACGCACACATCTGAGTGAGTGGGTTGATGTCATTCGTGGTCTCTAACTTTGGCTGAGATAACACTGCTCATCAATTCTTTTGTTTGTCTTTGTTTGCTCTGGTCTTACTGTCTTCTAAACCCTTGCTACTACTCAAATCCCCTTCAAAATTCTCATTCTCATTGAAATTCTCTCTTCCTTTCTAAGTAGATTACTTAGCTTCACATTTCAGAGAGAAAAAAACTGAGATGATCTGCCATGAACTTCTTTGGTTCCTACTTCTCTCTCTCTTTAAAGAAAAGTCTACATACTTATTTCATTTTTTTCTACCACCTCTTTAATCCGTTGGACTCTGCCTCCTCCACTCCACAAAAGCTACTGTGGCAAAAGTCATCAATGGTCCAGGAATTCCAAATGGCTAGAGCACCATTTCCTGGGCTCTCTGCCTGGCTAACTCCTGTCCAGAGTTCAGGTCTCATCTCCTCATGGTCGCCTTCTCTACCTGCAGGCTGAGTTAAGACCCCTTCCAGAATGCTTCCATAGCACCCCGAGTCTTCTTCCTTTGTATCATCAGTCCTGTGATTATTACTCAGTGGCTGTACTCCTGTTCCACTGAAATATCTATGTGACCATCTTGTAGACTGCTGTCTCCTCATCCCTAGCACAATGCCAACAGTAAAATTGAATTGATTGAGAGAAACCTCAGTTTCTATAATTACAAAACTTACCATCTTCCTACCTCTCAGGGATATGTGATGACTAAGAAGCAAATATTTCCTATTATGTAACATACTGACACGCCACCAAAGGCACTGCATGCCAATGACAAGAGCTCTTCTGCTAGCTTAATAAGACCAAAGCAGGTCAAATATTTAAATAAAGATTAAAAAATTTTTGAGAGGCAGAATAGCATAGTGTAAACAACATAGGCTTTAGAGCTAGGATCCCTGAGCTCTGCCATTTAATAACTGTGTGACTATAGATGAATTCCTTAATCTCTTGGAGTCTCATTTTTTCTTATTTGTAAAATGGAGAAAATAATACTACCTATCTCATCAGCTTGTTGTGAGTGTTAACTGAAATAAGATGTATAAAGTGCTCAGAGCATTGCCTGACACACAGTATGCATGCAGTAAGTGTTAGGTATTATTATTATTAGTCTTGAACATTATGGAAAGACTCTATAAGCATGAGCCCCATTTTCTTAGGCCCCTCTGGTTACATTCTATACATAAAATGTATGCACTAAGGATAGGAATAAAGGATACAGATGTTATTAAAATAAGACTTTCATGAAGATAGGGACTGCTGACTCTCTTGATCAATGTCTATGTGCCAGCAATTAGAATAGTCCTTAGCTTATAGTGGTGCTCAGTAAATATTTGATGAATTCAATGAATGGTCAGGCAGGTGTTGAATGTTCCTCTGTGTATATTTTTGTGGGGCTCAGTATCTAATTCCAATACCTGAAAAATTTCAATAATAATTTATATTTCAAATTAGAGTATAATGAAATAGCCAAAATACTGCTTGAAATTTGGATATCAATTTTAAATGTGTTTACTATAGTCTAGACATGAAATTCATAGCATACCAACAACTACTACTTTTAAAAAAAAGGGTAATGATGAGAAGATTTTTTTTATTATAATTACCTGTACTCTGTGGTTATTTGGGCAGACAATAGCTGGTTTGTAGTGAACTATACTGATTTTAAGAGAAGTAAGCTTTATACCTGATGTTTAAGTATGCATTTCTTCCCTTAAATGGCACATGGAATCTTAGAAAAACTCTCATGTGCTTTCAGAGTTGAATCAAAAAATCCTGTGATTAATTTACTCATAATAAGTACAACTCAATTTATTTTGTAGAATCATAGTGTGACTGGCTATCTTGGTCAAATCTCTAATTTTTTAGATAGAGAATTTGGAGCCCAGAGAGTGTCACACAGGCCTCTTTCAATTCTATGCTGTAAGTCAAGTTGTTGCAACAATGTGCAGGTTACTATGTCAGGTGCTCTTCCAGATACGGAGATGATAAAGCCAAGGGCCTGCACTCCAGGAGTGAGAATTTGCTATAAATACATGGATCTGCAATACAGAGCAGAATGCAACACATGCCATGGGTGAAAAAAAATTGCTGTAAGAATTCAGAGGTGTCAGAGAGATTTTAAAATTATGTGTCTTAAGAAAGACTTTGTGAAGGCAGCAGTATAGTGGCATTTCAACATTGTGACTTGAAGCAGAATTGCAATAAACAGGTGAAAGCAGGAAGAGGGAGCAGCCACAGCTGCTGCCATGGAGGAGAGAGAAGAGTGTGAGTTTGGAGAGCTGCACATGACCTTGTTTGGCAGACACAGGATATGGGTAAGTGAGTGATGAACTGGAACCAGGGCTGCTGGGATAGAGTGAAACTGCATTTGGAGGACTTTGAGGGACTGTGGGGAAGAGTGAGCCAAATTCGCAAATCAAATTTCACCTTTCAAATGGTGTTTTTTTAGATGTGAATGAAAGAAATCTCGAATCTCATTATAACTTGTTTGGCTACATATTTACAAAGCCTCCCAAAGAGTGGTTCACTTTCTGGAAAGGAGATAGGTGGCTATTTCTGCTTTATGATGCCTCTTTTAGATGTCACTTTTAGCAAGTGATGATTGGGGGCCTTGTCTTGGGAGTTGGGGGCAGGTGTTGTTTATAACATATACCCCCAGTCTTCTGATTTCCAGAGTTCCTGCAGAGGTTGGATAAAGGGATCTTTGGGTGTTTCACGACCAGCTCTGAAGTCTTTACCCCTCTCCCATCTGTTGTGAGCTTTGGGGAATAAGTGCAGGGAAGTTGTTGGGAGATGAAGAGGGTCTGGCTGAGCCCTGGGGCATGTGAGGGGGTGAAGGGCTCCTTTTGACTCCTGGGTCTCTCCTCTCTGAACAGCATCTGATTTTGGAACTAAGGTGAACTGTGAAAAAAATGTTAGAACCAGGCCCCCCAGGATCTCCTACGCCCTTCTTTTCCCTTTCTTCTCCCTCCTTATTCTTTTCTTTCCTTTCCTCAGGGGTTTACTAACCAATTTTAAGGGTCAGGCCACCTGGAGATTTTGTAGTGAGGGTAAGGAAAGAGAAAAGGAACAGTGGAGAAATTGAATCTAATATAATCCTAGAGAAAGCTTGCTCACCTCAGTAGCAGCAAGAGATAGCTCATTCTATGTGAGCAATGAACAGATACTAGACACCCACCAGGTGCAAATTACTATGCTGCTGGAGATGTAAGAGGTGAACAGTGCTGTAATTCAGGGTGGAAACTGTCAGCTTTATAGCAGTGGTAACTACTATTTGTATAGTGTTTTTAGCTTGAAGAATTTTTCACATGTGATAGTTCATTTGGTCTTCACAACCCCCACAATAATAAATATTATTAATGCTGTCACATTACTTATGAGGAGTCTGATGCTTAGAGAGGTGAAGTGTGTGTAAAGTGACAGAGTTAGTGCTGAGACTAGGACTGAAGTCTTCAGATGATAAAATCCAACCTCTTTATCTTTAGCCACACAAGCTGATGAAAGCTGATGTAAATATTTCCAATTTATGGGAATGTGTAACCATGGAGCCAATTTTGTCTTTTCATACAACTTATTAATCAGTGAACCCACAGTAGAAGAAAAGCAAAACTCTTACCTTTTGCCACAGTTAGCACCAGCCAGGAGAAAAGTAACCAGTGGGAGAAACAGTGTCTGCGAGCCATGGTGTCTGCCTTGAGCAGTCACTGCATTGAGTCCAATGTTGCTTTAAAGAGGAGTTGGTGGGGCCGGCCTGTGGCTCACTCGGGAGAGTGTGGTGCTGATAAAGAGGAGTTGGTGAATCACCAGTAGTCTGATTCAGGTAATTTGCATTTGCTTAGTGGACCACAGCAATCAGGGCTTGCGGTGTTAGGGTAAGAAATCAGCAAGGACATACCAGACAGTATTTATCAACCAGAAGCTTCTGGTAATGACAGCTAAACATCATTCATCTCTCTTCAGAGTCAGATTATGAATAACCTTGCCCTCGCTATCCTTTTAATCCCTCAAATCTTCTCCTATGTTAGTGCCTTCTCTTGTGCGTGTGGGTCTTCCTCTGCAAGAGAAAGAAGCTGTTGAGGAAATACTCAACACTGCTTTCCTCTGTTGGTTACCCACTTACCAAAGCAAAAAGGAGGGGGAGGGCCCTATCCAGAGGCTTCCTGACCCAGTGGTTTGAAGGGGCCGTTCTTAGGCTCCCCCCACCGCATGCTCCGACCAGGGTTTATGCTGCTGCTTCTCTTCTCTGCTTCTGTCTAGGAGGCAAGGGCAGCAGAGTCAGAAAACTATCTTCCCGAGTGGACTTCATGATCACTGTCAGAACAAACATGAACATTTGTGAGAGTAACTTAGTGAGTTGTCTTTGCAAGGTTCCTGATGATTCACCACATTGCCTATAAGATGGACATAATACATCTGTGCCCAGCTGGTTTCCTGAGAGCTGCCGGAGGAATGCGAGGGGATGGTCACAGGTTTAAGAGCAAGGACCTTGGAGTTAGAAAGAACTTCAGTCTTAGTTCCTTTTCTTACAGCTGGATGACCATGGTGAGCCCCTGGGACTTGCTGAAGCTTCAGGTGCCTCCTCTCTAAGATGGGGCTTATAATACCTCCCTCAGAGGAGAGTTGTGCATAAAGGAAGTGATTGACATTAAGCTCCAACCACAAGCCTTGCTTGTGAAAGGGAGTGTTTGTGGTTTTTATTAAATTATAATAACCCCAATTAATAATTTATTCTCTTAAGAGGTTATACTTGCCGAATTTTCCAGTCACTCAAAAGACCTCCACTTTGAGCAGAACTCTGTAGACTACATGGGTTCTGGTTCTCTGCTTGCCCTGTGTCAACTCCTGTAATCCCCGTACACTAAAGCTGTGTCCTGTATCTGTTCTCTCTCTCTGGAATTGAAGATGGCAAGAACTGAGCCTTTCAAAAGATTAATTATTTATTTATTTTTAATTGTGGTAAAATATATACAGCAAAACTTACTGTTTTAACCATTTTTTTTTTCCTTTTTGTCTCTTTTTTACTGACCGGTAACGGGATCGCAACCCTTGGTGTTGCGCCCGCACCGCGCTCAGCCAGTGAGCGGGAACCGGTCTCCACATGGGATCCGAACCCTCGGCGGGAGCGCCACCACGCTCCCAAGCGGCGCACTCTCCAGTGTGCCACTGGGCCGGCCCCTGTTTTAACCATTTTTAAGTGTACAGAAGAACTGAGTCTTGATTAGTTTTGGCCTCAGTGCTTGGCACATGGGGAGCAGGCAGTACATAGTTTTGGAAAACATGGATAGACGAACGTCTGGGGAGGAAGAAGTTAGAAGGGTCTGTGCCTGCTCATGCACATTCATGCACCTCATTGTCCAGCAAGTCCGTCAGGGAAAGACACGAGGGCTAAGGTGTCTAGCTCTCCGTTGCACCTGCTTTTTGGATTTCTGCTCAGGGCAATTTCATTGCTTCTCTTTCTCCTCCTGCTCACAGCCTATGATGGTTAATTTTATGCATCAACTTGGCTCGGCCTCAGTGCCCAGATATTTGGTCAAACATTATTCTGGGTGTTTCTGTGAGAATGTTTTTGGTCAGGGTTTACATTTAGATCAGTGGGCTTTGAGTGAAGCACATTGCCCTTCATAATGTGTCTGGGCCTCATCGAATCAGTTAAAGGCCTGAATAGAATACAAAACTGACCTCTCCTGAGCAAGAGGGAATTCTGTAGCAGACTGCCTTTGCAAGGGAACTGCAACATAGGCTCTTCTCTGGGTTTCCAGCCTGCCCGGTCTACCCTTTAGATTTTGGACTTGCCAGCCTCCATAATCACATGAGCCAATTCATTAAAATAAATTCCTCCTCTGTATATACACATCCCATTGGTTCTGCTTCTCTGGAGAACACTAACACACGCCCAATATCATTTTTCTCTCACTTTCATGTATATACATGCTGTTCCACAGGTTTAGTGGATAAGCACACAGGATGAGATTTAATAAACCAAGGGCTTGTAAATAAGAATGTGGGTGTTCTTGGATAATGAGGGGCACAGCCAAGTGATCTCAAGCCACTAGAGATGTGTGGGATAACTAAGAATTGAAGGCTGGTGTATGAGCATTGCACTGCCCCTAACACAGATACTTCAGAAAGATGCCAGAGAGGAGAGCAGTCCTCCCTCTGTCTCAGGATGGCATGTCCTTCTGTTGCAGGCTGAACATCTGTATTTTGGGGAGAATCTCATAGTGACTTCCTGCTTCACTCCCCTCCCCTGCCCCCCATCTCAGTCTCTCTTTCTCTCTTTCCTGGTGGTTTAAAAATGTGTTTAAAATTTCAGGGAGCTTGTACTCTGAAGATACTGGGGTTGGATACAGTGCAATTAGTTTTTGGTAAATAATTTATTTTAGATGCTTAAATTGAGGCAATATTAGCCATCTTCTGTTTAATTGAAAAGGAAGCTAGCAGCCTGAGAGGGAAAAAACCAAAGATCAAATAGCCTGGGCCAGCAATGTGCAAGAAACATGGACTGTTCTAGCTGTCATCTGCAGCTTTAGGGTGGGTCTGAAGAGCTGCTTTTCATGCCGTCAAGAACCCACTGGGATGTCTGCCTGAGATGGGTCACCTCGCCTCTCTCATCTCTACAGTCCTGCTGGGGGAAAGGCCCCATTCTGCTGCTAGGCCTTAAGTCCAATCAGGTTAGTCTCCCTTCTGCGGCCAAAACTGTGGAAGCTGCCTGGGACAGGCATTCCCCTTACAGAGCCGTGGTGAGTAACCTGGGGAAGCTGCCATGAGGGCCTCCATGAGTCAGGATTACGTGTGTCAGGGAGCATGGGGAGAGGTGTGCACTGCTGAGTCAGGTTGAGGAAGGCTTGGGGTTCTCTGTTGGAAGCACACTTTCAGGGCCAGGTGCTCCTTTGGGGAATCTGAGACCTAGAGAAGTTTCCTAAAGTCATCCCAGGGGTTTAACAACAGAATGGCAATAACATTCTGGTCAGAAGAAGAGTGATACTCACTACACTGGGAGCCCTCATTTATCAATGGTTTCATTTTTATTTGTTTGGCGGCTGGCCTGAGTGGGGATCTGAACCTGTGATGTTATAAGGCTGTCGTGTAACCAACTGAGCAACCAGCCAGCCCATTATCAACAGTTTGAAGCACAGTATTAAACCAGTGCAATAAATCAGTGTTCTATTCTCTGCCCTGCCACCAATTAGCAGTGAGACCTTGGCACGGTTACCTTCATTGCCTCTCAATTTCCTCATCTATGTATCATTTACTATATTCTAAGCATCACTGTTTTCAGGAATGGGCATGTAAGTCACTTAATCCTTAAGACAACCTAGTAAGGTGAGTACTATTGTCATCCTCATTTTAAAGATGTGAAAACTGAGGCACAGAGAGGTTAAGTCATTTGGCTAGTAAGTGGCAGAGCCATGCTGTGAACCCAGGCAATTTGGCTCTGGAATTCTTGATTTTAATCATTGTGCTAGGTATGCTCTGATACCCTGGCCACCACCTTATTGCAGTAAAAGTTCTGTGAAAGTATTCTTAAAGTTCACCCAGGCACTGTAGGTCAAAAGAATTGGTTTGTTAAATTTTTTTTTAAGGCAAAATAAATAAAAAGAGGTGGTGGGGGAACTTACAGATTAAAAGAGACTTAGAGACATATCAACCAATTACAATATTTGAATTTTATTTGGGTCTTGTTTCAAATAAACTAATTGTAAATGAAATGAAATAAAATAAGACAACTGGGGAAATGTGAACATTGCCTGGATATTTGATAATATTAAGAGATTATTGTTAAACATTTTCTGGTGTGATAATGATATATGACTTTTTCTAAAAAATAACAGAATCCTTACTTTTTAGACACATGTTGAAATATTTACAGATTATATGCTGTCTGGGATTTGCTTCAGAATAATCAGAAGTAGGGAGTGAGTGGGCATATAGATGGAACAAGATTGCCTGTGTTTAATAATTGTTGAAGCTGGATGACAGGTGCATTGAAGTTTATTATACTCTACACTTCTGTTTGGAACTTTTCATTATAAAAAGTTTAAAAAAATCATCCCATATAAAATTTTGTTTTATTCTCAGAAATGTCAAAAAGCACCATGAACCTATCTCACAGGGCTGGTTGGAAGAGCAGCAGTCCACAGAGAGAGAGTGAGTGGAACTGCTTAGAAGACTCACCTTCCATGGGTGTAATTTATTTGGGGGTGACCCCACAGTGCTTTACACATGCATGAATGCATGATGGTATAAATGAACAAATGTGAATGAATTTGGTCCACGGTGAATTGGACAGCCATTTTTCAAAAGATCAGGAATAGAATTTAGTTTCTAGACCAAACATAATGATAAAATGATTTTGTACGTTTCCCCGTAGATAAAATTGTGCATATAAAGGCAGCTTTGTATGCCATGATCATAACAAGGACAAAATACTTCTATATGGTTCCTCCTTTTTCTGGTGGACAAATGTACACAAAAGACTTACTAACAAAAAGGCTTCACTTCACTTTGCAGCTATGCCCCCACCACTACACCTCTCAGAGACCATTCTTTGCTTTCAACTCCTTTGCCATTGTTTTTGCTTGCCCAACCCAGCACCCATCCCATCTTCTGAGTTCCCTCTTGGAAACCATCATTGCCCTATTCTCCTGGCTTCATGATTTGGCTGTAACCTGTGCCCACCAGC